CCATATTTGACCCAACATTGGGTTGAAACAACCCAGCATTTTTTAGAGTGCATATATATATACGATTTTAGAAAGATCTTTAGATCTTAGGTCTTGCAATGTATTAAACGTTAAAAACTGAGATGCATCTGTTTGTTATTCTCTTCCAGGTGTTCCTGAGCATTGTTGAGAGCAAAGCAGCAGGATCTCTATTTCTCCAAAAAATAAGGACATGTGAAAAAATTGAATAGGGCATCATCAACTGAAGCAGTAAGCTCACGACACATATTTTAGTAATCTGAAGGACCATAGTGGTGTTCCTGGGTCTGTTAGTGTACAAAAGGTTTTCAGTAGCATCTAGAAAACTTTTCGAAACATTTTCGAAGCGCGGACAATTTAGACATGGAGGTTGCAGCCGATCAGTCTCGATGGATGGCCCATCATCATGCGGTACTCAACGGCCAGCACCCAGATTCCCATCATCACGGGCTTACACACAATTACATGGAGCCCATGGCACCTCTTCTACCCCCGGACGAGGTGGATGTGTTCTTGAATCACTTGGACTCGCAGGGGAACCCGTACTACCCCAGTTCTCGGGCTAGAGTATCATACGGTCAAGCGCACGGTAAGATGTTTCTTTACTTCAAATTTCTCTCGCATGAAGTAGGCTACATATCATATTTTGCTGACAGAATATCTGTCTTATATGCATATGTTATTATGCAATTTCCTAGACATATTTCAGCCACACTTTACATTTGTCATGCAGCAAAATGTCTTATAAGTTACATAATACGATTTGTTTATTTATTTAACAGGCTAAGTGGTAAATGTGACCTTGTTTATGAAGCTGTTTGAAATAGTAGGCCCATTGTTACTGTTACTGCTAAATATTTTTTTATTCATATTTAAATGTGTAACATTAATGTAACATCTTAAACTAAAATCTCCATATTTATAGCGAAAGATATATATATTTTTTTACGCGGTTCTTTGGTTTTATAGCCTACTTATGTGCTTAAAAAAGTTTTAATAAACCTGACATACTTTATGCCCATTTTGGGTCAGTTGGCTATATATATAAAGCTAGTAAAATCTCTAGAACAACCGTTTTGTGCGTGTAAACCCGAAATATTTCGATGACTTTTTCGTTCACGGGCTTTGAAGTGAAACTAGGCTAGTGCTGCCCTAAATACGACTGTTTTATCGCTGAGACGTCTCGATACTTAAATAAAGATATGGTAATGTAAATGTTTTTGCTATTGCTTTGCACAAAACTATATTAGGCTATGCATAGGACTATGTAGCTACCTTGCAGTTACAAATCAGGCCTATCGCATTTCTTGAACTGTCTCTCCAAGATCCATATCTCCAAGATATGCGTGTCGAAATGTAAAGAATAAGAAGAAAAATAAAATGTCCAGCGAATGACTTGATGAGGAAAGGGAAGTTCGTGTCAGGGAGAGAGAGAGAGAGGGAGAGGGATCAAGGCACTTCCCGGATGCCAAATCAAAACGAAAAATTCCCGATGAACTTCTTAGTTCAAGCGTCTAATTTGTGCGAACAACAGGCTGTAGTGAGAAGGCTTCGTTAAAAAAAAGCTGTCGTTTGTCGCTTTTGTAAGGAGATTTTACGTCTGGTTCTTAGGAGTAGGTGCGTTTTTTGAGGAAATCGCGTCGAGACTAAGGAAAATATATTTTAAGGGTTAGCGTGCAGTTTGAACAAACACTGGACTAAACACTGGACGGTTTTGTGTGTGTTGCATAACTGATATTTAAGATTGAAGTTTTATCTCAATGTCAGGTTTGTATTGTTCGAGTACGGAATCAACAGGTGAGAGTGAACATTAGACATGTTGTTCTTTGAAACAAACTGGTGTTTTTGGCAAAAACAGCAATTTCGCTGGTCATTTTCATTTCGAATGGAACTTTATGTTCGTTTCTGTCTTGTATTTCTCAGCTCGTCTCACGGGAAGTCAGGTCTGCCGGCCACACCTCATACACAGTCCCGGTATTCCTTGGCTGGACAGCGGGAAGGCAGCGCTCTCCGCCGCCCACCACAACGCCTGGGCGGTCAGTCACTTCAGCAAGCCTGGCCTGCACCCCGCCAGCGCCGGCTACCCGTGCAGCAGCAGCACCAGCACCGCTCCCGTCTCCTCCCTCACATCCGCAGCCCACTCCAGTCCACATCCCCTCTACAATTTCCCCCCAACCCCACCGAAAGACGTCTCACCGGACCCCGGTCCTTCTTCTCCGATCTCCACCACTGCAAGAATGGATGAAAAGGAGTGCATCAAGTACCATGTGTCCATCGCCGATGGGATGAAAATGGAGGGATGTAGTCCTCTTCGGGGAAGCCTGGCTATGAGCGCCCAAACACCGTCCACGCATCATCCCATCCCAACCTACCCAACGTACTCTCTGCCCGCGCCACACGAGTACGGCGGGGGTCTGTTTCATCCTGGTACCCTCCTCAGTGGATCCGCTTCAAGCTTCACACCTAAATGTAAAAGCAAGACACGGTCGTGCTCAGGTGAGTTTCATTAAGCTCTGACTCGACCATGAAGTGATGAGTAGCCTTGCCAAGGCTAAATGGGCATATTTAGAGACACATTGGCTTAGAGAGCATTTTTAAAAAAGCATTTTTATATCAGCTGTCGAAATGTAACATTTATAAAGAACGAGGATATATGTAATGTTTTAAAATAATTACATTTAACCAAATAGCCTGCCAGGCGTCCTGAAAAGTTTACTGGCCTAGAAAATCTCAATTTTCCATTATCACAGTTGTTGTTGTTTTTCTCAGATAGGCCTGTTTGAGAAATAGTTTTAGTTTTATATGGAGTTTACTTATTTTTTGTCTAATTAGATTAATTCGACCACCATTTTAGGAATCTCCCTCGAGGCAACTATACACCGCGATTTTTAAATTATGACACACAAGTTTCAGCGGCTCTTAAAATGCCACACCAAAATACACCACTACTCGAAAGCGTGGATCACTTTAAAAGACAAAAAAAGTGGTTATCATGCATAAACTAACCAAGGCCAACTGTTTAGTGTAAACACTCTGTAAAAAACAAACAAACACACTATACACTGGTGCTCCACACACAAAACCAAAATCGATATTTCTTTTTTTAACTAATATAATTGATTGAATTATTAAATTAATTCAAAAGAGGAGCCAAAGTTACAACATGCATTGTATAAGTTTATTGGATTTTTCGATCATGCTAAATTTAAATACTGGTGAAGGAATTTCAGTTAAAATTAGATAAATGATAAAGTAAAAAAAACCCCAGATATTTTTGAGGTGCTGTGATGAAAATGGCTTGCGTAAAATGACAAATAAAGTCAAATAAAAAGTGGAAAATTGAGCTTTTGCGCAAATTGTGGCTTTAATTATTAAAAACACAGGTACCTCCAGATCCAGAAAGAAGTTTTTTTTTGTATTTGTTTTTTCTCTGCTCGTTAGGCCTATTTGGATGAATGATTTTATTTGACGGGCTGCGTGTTGCCTCATATTTAGCTTTAAATTAAGCCCTTATTGCACTTAAAACGTTGAGGAGTCACGACGCGCTGGCTCCAGACATATCCTGTATAACTTCAGCTGAACAAATCACGACATACTCCCGCCTCCACCTTCCACGACCCCAATACTAACAAAACCCCGGCGGGGCAGGCCTTCACAGGCGACAGGACCCTGCTGTTTGTGTGCTTATTTATGCACGACCTCGGCCTGATGCACCGCTAACGAACTTTATTTTGAACTATTATTTGTAACACTTTACATCAAAGTTACATTACACTACACATGTTGGCCTACTTATGTGCAATTATTATTATTACATATGACAATAGAAATAACAATGTGTAAATACAAGGTGCTTCATAAATTAATGAATAGTAAATATAGTGTTTTATTATTAACATACTCAATAACACAGAAATACAAAATATGTCCTTATCATGGTTTTAACTTTTTATGTATTTATTTAGCCAAGCTATGGATGTGGAAAATGCCTTGTGCTGAAAATGTTGTTAGGATTGAGTGTGTATTGGTGAATGGAACCATTTTGAACTTCATAGTAATTTTTTTTTCCATTCTTTAGTTGTAGAGATTCAACGCAAACAATCAAATCAATATCACAAACATGATTGAGCACTGACAGGAAAAACAAAACAAAACACTTCGAATTAGGGTTACCTTTAATTATTCACCCCATTTGCAGGCCCGTTTTCACCTAACACACCCAGCACCAAGTTTCAGTACATTTAAAATGCGAGTGATACTTCTAACCATGTCAAGCCTAAACAGAAAATGGAATGAAAATGACTGAATTACAACACATCACATACATTTCAAAAGAGCATCCATTATCCGGGTGGATTCTTTTCTCTGGTCAGGGTGGGACAGCGACTAGCTCACATTATAATGTGAATAATAGACAGGTGCTCAGGGGAGTGAGGAGGAAGAGCATTTAGGGAGCATTCAAGCAGGTTAGGGTGCTTTACTGTGATATGACACCTGAGAATAGAACAAGCCGGGACAGCTGGCTGATAAACATGATTGGGATGTATAACAGAATGAACTCACATTTTAAACACGTTCTTGTCTTGAAAATGTTGTAGCTGCAAAAATAGACTGATATTATTTAGTGTTCTTTCTGTAGAAGATAAATGAAAAAGTTTGTCTGTAGGTAATTTAAGAGTAGATCCTGGATGTACTGCTCATTTTCCACTTAGTCACACTTTGTAAAAAAATGTTATTTCAACCACAAACACATGCACAATCACAAATTCCGATATCAATTATGTAATACATCCAGCTCTGATGAGTGATTCCAGTGTGGATGTAATGTTAGATATTGTCTAATTAACTTGGGAGTTGTTTTTCTTTGTCCAGACCATGCCTTTGCATGACCCTGTGTTCCTGTATTGTAGATGTAGTGCGAACCTTTTAATTATATAAATTTCCCTTTGCTTTCCCTCCACTTGAATTCTGCACAGAGGGGCGTGAATGTGTGAACTGCGGAGCCACCTCCACCCCGCTGTGGCGGCGGGACGGAACGGGCCACTACCTCTGCAACGCGTGCGGCCTGTACCACAAGATGAACGGCCAGAACCGACCCCTTATCAAGCCAAAGCGCAGACTGGTGAGTCGATGAGCCCTCCAGAATTCTTTCAGTTCCTCACACACGTGAGAAAGAGGGCTAAATAGGAGCACTGAGCAGAAAGCCTGAGCACAATTCCAGGAAAGTTATATTTTCCCTATAATCTTCCTGGAATTGTTTGTCGCTCTCGCCCCCTGGTGATCCCCTACTCTGCCTGTTACAATACTGCTACTATTGCCATTGTTCCTGCTATCATTATTGCTTCTAGTTCTGATACTGTCACTGATACCAATGCCCATGCCGGTACAATTATCACCACTCCATACTAAGAGAAACCTGTTGCCACACTATTGTCTGAGTGCATCTGTTTAGATCTAGCAGTTTGATCTAGTTGTTCATTTTCTGGGGGTGTTTAGAAAGCCACATGCCATTGGTTTTGTTTTGTGTGGCTGGCTTATGATTCTGGCTCCATTTTAGAATCGCTGCCAGCATGATTATCTCGTTTAATCTTGATGAGATGTTTAAAAGCAGATTTTGTTCGTTTGATTTATCTTAATGGCTTTTTGCAAAACTAAAGTTTCAAGATTATTTTGCTGTTTACTTGAGAAATCATTAAGATGTGTGAAAAGTCAAACTTGATTATGCTTTGGTTATTAATCTCCGGTTTTTCTGTGGTTCATGGACAGCTTTAAAAGAAGGCCCTGTGCTTTTATTGAAATATAAATCATAATTCGTTGGAATAAAATACCTGGGACGGGTGACAGTTTTTTTCAGCATCAGGATACTGTGAAAACAGATGACTTTTCAAAGAATACAATCTATAGCTGCATTTTCCTTTTCACATAATCTTATTTTATCCTTTAGCAGGTGAAACTCTATATCTCTACCTCTGTCTCTTTATTGAGTCATTTTTGCAGTCTTTCAAAACATGATGTAATATTATATAGAGATTCATTTTGGAGACACAACAAGCAGTTTAATTGAGTGAGGCCTCTTTTTCTATCAGCCATGCGCCATAATTTAATTTTCACTTGGCTAAGTGACCATCAGAGTGTAAATACAAGTGAGGGAATCTTATTTCCACACTTACATACTCAGCAGGAGAACCATGAGCCTTGTACTGAATTACAAATAGAGCGAGATATTCAAAGAGAAAATCAAAATATGAATTGTAAGACTCCTTAGTTCCTAATTATGATGATTATTTTTATTTTTAGCAGTGTAGGTGTAACATAGCTTTTCCAACATTTGAGTTTTTTTTCCCCTTTAGTCTTTCTCTATATGTTCTCATGGTGAAAAAAACGCCACATGGTTTTCCATGGAGTCAGAGTGCTGGCCCATGCTTTTGCATTTTGGGCTGAAGTGTTTTCAGAGCGCTGTTCAAAGGCCATCCAGTTGTTTCCTATCCGGATATCTGCCCGGGCCCGATAAGGAAGCCAGGCTCCCGGGTGTTTCCGTCTTCAACAAACCCGGCTGAATTTTCTCTGGCCCCGGCAGGCCCGAATGACATCTACTGTAAAGCGATTATCAGAGCACTATGTGTGAAGGGGCTGGGGCAGGGATTGGAAAATAAATGGATTTATACCATTTGCTCTCTTGTTTGTCATGCTCGACTGGCACTGAGTTGAAGTATCGGAATGTGTGTTTTTGTTGTCGTCTGCGTTTTAATTTTATTCATAGCGGGGTTTTTTTTAAAAATTCAGATCCAATTTTTAAAAAAAATTATTATTTTTTTTTTACAAAAGCTCAATAGAAATTATGTAAATCGTTAACGAACACAAACTGCAAATGTTATAGGCTATGTGTCGGACTGCGGGGGAATTGCGTTGTATGCTTATAAATGTTATTCATTATATGTGAAAAAAATTATCCGTAATTGTCAAAAAGCGAACAGTGGATTGATGACCCTGTTTTGCAGTCGCCACGCCCACTGAAGCGTTTGATTCGCGGCATCAAGGCCGAGCAGTGTATCGAAACGTTATAAATTAATGATCTGTCTAATGTATTTACCCAAATATGGCAGAGCTTATTAGATACAGCTCAGAATAAAACGAATTTCATCAGGCACCGTTTTTTCTAATCAAGGCACAAATTGGAAAATTGAATTTGGCGTGTTTAAATAGGCTATATTCAATTAACCCAAGGCGACTCCCTGGTAAGAGATTTCATATGTCCAGGCCGCATTTGCTTTAATGTTATTTGGGGATAGTTTTGAAATGCTGTCTGGTGCAGAATACACATAGCATGAGTGAGTCATAATATTCGTCACCCCATCAGATTGTTATCATGAATGCATTTTCTTCAACCCAAAGCCCATGTAACCCCTGATTGATATTACAGTGTGGAAAATAGAAATGCAGGACTGAGGTTATGTAGTCCATTCAACGATTGGATTCGGTACAACAACAAAACATATCTAAAAGATAAGCCACAGAAGGCCTCGTGCTACTGTAAAAAAAATCGGTGGGAACAGCAATATGATTAAAAAAGTTACATTTATCATTACAAGCTTCCGCCACGTTAATATAATGCATATGCCTATTTAGACTTTTTACAGTTGTCGAGCAACTTCATGCAAACAGGCTCGGGCACAAATTGGAAAATTGAATTTGGCGTGTTTAAATAGGCTATATTCAATTAACCCAAGGCGACTCACTGGTAAGAGATTTCATATGTCCAGGCCGCATTTGCTTTAATGTTATTTGGGGATAGTTTTGAAATGCTGTCTGGTGCAGAATACACATAGCATGAGTGAGTCATAATATTCGTCACCCCATCAGATTGTTATCATGAATGCATTTTCTTCAACCCAAAGCCCATGTAACCCCTGATTGATATTACAGTGTGGAAAATAGAAATGCAGGACTGAGGTTATGTAGTCCATTCAACGATTGGATTCGGTACAACAACAAAAAATATCTAAAAGATAAGCCACAGAAGGCCTCGTGCTACTGTAAAAAAATCGGTGGGAACAGCAATATGATTAAAAAAGTTACATTTATCATTACAAGCTTCCGCCACGTTAATATAATGCATATGCCTATTTAGACTTTTTACAGTTGTCGAGCAACTTCATGCAAACAGGCTCGGAATTATACACTCTAAAAAATGCTGGGGTTGAATACAACCTAGTGCTGGGTAAAATAGTGACTAACCCAGCAATTGGGTTGTTTTGACCCAGCGGCTGGGTCAAAACAACCCAATTGCTGGGTTTGTCCCTATTTTACCCAGCACTGGGTTGTATTCAACCCCAGCATTTTTTAGAGTGTACGTTTTAAAATTGCTACAGCCTTTTTAGATGCCCACGGGATTGTTTAAAAATGTATACATTGTCGTTTTGGATAGTGGACGCTTTCATTTAGTTCACAACATTGAATATTTTTGGGGGTTTTCTTGTCTACAGTCTGCTGCGAGGCGAGCTGGCACCTGCTGCTCGAACTGCCAGACAACCACGACCACTCTGTGGCGGCGTAACGGGAACGGTGACCCGGTGTGCAACGCCTGCGGGCTCTACTACAAACTCCACAACGTGAGTATTAAGAGCCGCAAACACTGAAAGTGACAGCGAAGTGGTCAAGTGGGCGGACAGCTTGTATCGATTGAGGAGAGGGAAGACTGAGGCCGGGGACGCAAAGCCGGCTTTCCCTGTCAGACAGAGCCCGTTGACCGTTTTCGTTTTAGATGAATCCAGCATTGTTTCAAAGGAGGGCGTTATTCCCAGGAGGGACGGCAGGGCGGGTCTGCCATTCAAGATACGGCGTCAGTTATAGGCTATCAATTCGGAGTTGTCTGAAACTAGCGTTTTTAATGTTAAGCTTGGCTGCGATCTATTTAGCAGACGAATTAATACATTTCACTTTAATGAAGCAAGCGAAACAAAGGAGGAAAAAAAAAAAACAGAACTGCGTGACAGCTGAGCTGCTGAATTGCTTTTTTCCCCCATGTTTAGTTTTCGTTTTAAATTCAACCCTGAAAGCATAAAAGACTACATTATACACTTTGATGTAGGCTTTAATTTGAGTAAAATACTACATCTAATAAATGCGTAATACAAAGAATTTTACAGAACATTTTCGGTGCCATGGATAGAAGCTATCTTAACATAAAAAACAGGTTGTACTTTTTTTTATATATGAAACGCAAAAATTGTTTTATATGTGTGAAAATATATAATATAATAAAATGATAGATAATGACAGATTTGATTGTAATGTCATATAAAGATTCTAATCTATAGACTACTGTTCTGGGGTGCATTTCCCGAAAGCAACTATGGTTGTAGATGGCTAAATATGCTTTTGGGAAATGCACCCCTGATCTACTGTTGCTGTGTTTTCCTGGTTAATTTTCTCAAACGTCCATTTAATTAACTTTTGCATGTAAAATGTATCGATACTTCTGTAAAACGTACTTCCTTTGTGCTCATCTTTAACAACCCGGTCTCATTTTCAAGCTATTTAACCCAGTGCGGCGACTGAGGAAACCATCAGCCCAGCCAACAGTTAATGAGAGACCCAACAAAAGCACAGACCATGCTGAAGAGGGCCGACTTCAGGTCAACACTGACTCTTGCACAAGTGCAGATATGCCCATCCCCCATCCAAATGATCACACACCCCTCTTTTGTTTTCTATTCTATTCTATTCTATTATATCATTCATTGAGTTATCCATCTATCAGTGACTTGATTCATCTTTTTGTGTTTGCTGAAAGGAAATCACTAGGTTTTCTTAAAGGCTTAGTATACCCCAAAATAAAACTGCTTTCATCATTTACTCACCCTAATTTTATTCCAAACATAATATTTCCGTTCATCTACAAAACACAAAAAAAGTACATAAAATCATCGTAATTGAGAGGATTAAACCAAGTCTTCTGAGGAGACACGATCGCTTTATGTTATGAACAGATTTCATTTAGGATTTTATTCATATATAAAGACTGATCAGCACACATACTCAAGCACATCAAATATGGTAAACAGAAGCTCAGCTGTACTTGCTTGATGCGTGAGAACAAAACTCATCAATCAAACATGTTTGAGTTTCTGTTGAACACATTTTGGAAACGGATTCCTGTTGAATTTGTGAAGCCATAAGCACTTTTTAAAATATGTATTTGTGGTTTATATATAAATCACAAATTTGTCATCTATTCACCTTCATGTTGTTCCAATCCTATGAGACATTCTTTTGAGACAGGATGCAAAAAAAGATATTTTGAAGAATGTTTCAAGTGTTTTTTTGTCAATACAAAACAAAACTGGATTTCAAAATCTGAAATTTCACTTTTAGAAATTTTAGAAATTTCACTTAGAAATTTCAATGTGAACTCAAACATTTCTTATCAATTATCAATTTATGCGAAACATCTCAGAAAGTTAATACTTAGATGGCAAATAACACAATATGCTTTCAAAAAAAAAGAGAGAGACTAAAAATACTAGAAACCTGGGAAAATATATGGCCATCTAGAAACCTGAGAAGATATATTCAAATAGTGAACAGATAATCTCTCATAAAGTCCACAATATTCCACCTCACAGATGAAAACCTGTTTTTGTAGTCTTTGTAGCAATAGTCCATGACTGTAACTGTTCAGCTGCATTCCTGCTGTGTGTTTGCCAGTTGTACATGCCACTGGGCTTTTCTGTTTGTATGTGTGTGTGTGTGTGTGTGGAGTTATTTGTGTGTGTGTTGTTGTTCTCTTTGGCCAGGCTCCCAGAGCATGAAACATCCAACGGACTCAAACAGGGCACTCCTGAGGGAACTAGCTGTCTTCCCCAAAATAATAATGGGATCGGGCTGCGTCAGAGAGACGGGAGAAGGAAAAAGAGAAGCTTTATTCAGCGTAGAGGCTGAGGCACCGTGACGTGCTCGCGTGGTTCCACGTGTGTCCTTGTCCTCTCCGTCCCCACATGTGTGCTTTCAAATGGAGTAAGTGGTTTGTTCTTACGCATATGTGCATTTGGCCATGTTCAGAGTGGAATATAAAAATACTGCACAGTATAGACTGTACACTATTTTACAAAAATAGCATAGTAATTATGCAGTATATAATGCAGTATCGATGAAATGCAGTATCTATGAAGTATAATATTGTCCATGATAAAGAATATAATCTAGTTAAAAGTGTGCTAATGTACTCTTTGTATTCATATTGTTTTCATATGGTGCATATTGGTCACACCACATGACTTTGATTTTGTGGCCAAACTGTTTTTGAATATTAAAGGGATAGTTCACCCAAACATGAAAATTCTGTCATTAAATACTCACCCTCATGTCGTTCCAATTTCGTTGTCTGTTGAGGAAGTACAGACGTTCCTCTCGTTGATAGCAGAGGAGTGGATCCAGCGAGAGCTTGATGGGGCGACGCGGAATGAAAAAGTTTTGTGAATAATCCCGCCCACTCTAAAGCGGTACTGAACTGCAGTTGAAATGCAAACCGAGCCCTGGCGTACCGTACTGAGCCGTGCCGAGCCGAGTCGTACCACGCAGTGGAAAAGCGCCAATAGACAGCAAGGGTACTACCACGATCAACGTCCAGAAACGTAGATTTCTGTATTATAATTCGTAAAATAATAATTAATGTGACATCACGGATTCAACCGTAATATTACGAAGCTACGAGAATACTTTTTGTGCGCAAAAGAAAAGAAAAAAAACAACTTTATTCAACAATTCGTCTCCTCCGCGTCACCCTAGCGCCATTTTGGAAAGTATCCACTGAACGCAAACAGCGTATGTTGTTCTGTGTCAGCCGCACCACACGGATACGTTTTCTACTTGTTTGTGCTTTGATTTGAACGAAAACAACGTATCCGTGTCCTCTGACTGCATTTGCATATGTAACAGCTAGTAACTGCTGCGTGGGTAAACTTTAGCATCTCAGCAGGTTTCTAAAATGTTCATTTAGTGGCCTCATGAAATAGTAAAGTCTATTGCCTAAATCCACGGGAAAGGATTTGTGAATGATCGCAAAGAGACGCAACTAATGCTGTAGGTCACATGACAATGACAACTTGACGGATGTAGTACGTCCAAATTATATTCATTCTGCACACGTTCATACTAAATAGAACACTTTTTTAATGCTCACAAAGTAATGACTTATTCAGAGGAAGTACCGATTTTGAAAATATGCAGACAGCGTTTTTGAATACAAATGGCTGCAAAAGCATCATGGGACAATAAACCATAAGATAAACGTGACACATGGATGCTAGGTAAGATCATGAAGAGTATTCTACAATAACAACAATATTTTACTTCTAAATTAAGACGCCTAAATTATGACTAAAAAGTCGGCGGACCTTATAACAGCACGATTATATAGTATAGCAGAATGAAAGCATGGAGACTTATGACTAAAGCTTCAGAAACAGCATGGTGGCCTCTCGTCTCCGAGCCATGAGAGCTTTATGAGTAACAATCAAGACGAGTCTCCTCTTCTTTTCATCCTCTCATCCTTCCCTTCCCCTCTCCCTTCATCTCGCTCTCCTGCCCTCCCTCACTCCCTTCATGTATTTGTTTATGTATTAAATTGAATTAAAGGAATCAAAAGGTGGCGGGGGCCGTGCGCACACAGACTCGAGTTATGGAGCTAAAGATGAAAGCGTAAAGAAGCGAGGAGAGCGGTTCAACCGCAGGTCTCTAGCAATGCACAGGGTCAGACGCTTGACCTCATACAAACTAAACACGTTGTGCCCTCCCTTTCTCTTTTGTTCTTTCTCATTTTCTCTGTCTCTCTTTTTTGGTCACTATTTCTGCAGCCCGCCAAGGAAATAAGGAGTTATATCCTAAGAGGAGAGCAAGGAATTTTGCTCATTCCTAAGGCATTTTCATTGTCTCCAGAATAAAACTTTTTATGTGTATGTGTGTCAGTGGTTTAAAATAAAGTGTTTTCTACAACGCCTGTTCTTGTTCTGCGAGCACTCATGTGACGGCACCAAGCATATTTGCTTTAGACTTAAACTATTTTACTAGATTTAACCAAATTTAAAAACACAAACACTGACGTGACCCCGGCCTCCACTGCGTTTTATTATAGATAGACACTAGAGAAAGAAAGAGGAAGGACAACCTTTTCACTCTTGGGTTCTCTGTTGGAACTACTGCAAAGGTCACAGGGCTCTTTCTGATGATGGTGGGGCATCCCAGATCACACACTCACACCCTCACCTACACAAACACACACGCACGCAAATCACACATTGCATTAGTTAGGTATTATTAGCTGAACTTCCTCTTTCAGGTCTGACATAAATTCATAGAAATATGGTCCCTTGGTAATGAAATGCCAAGCAAGGGGTGGAGTAACGGTAACTATGTTCAATGGCCTGAGAAACGTAAGTAGGAGGGTACGGTGGTTACCGCATGTGTTCTTCCATTGTTTCTCCCCCAAGAGACACATTCATAAACACACATTCACATAAAAATACATACATTGGGGTCCAAAAGTCTGAGACCACAAATCTGGGATTCAAAATATAATATTTCTATTATTTCACTATTTCTAGGTCATAGTGCAAATTTGTGACATCTCCTTTGATGGCCTGATGTTCTTGGATCATCTGGAGAACATGATCATCAGGTTTAGAGTTTAGAGTTCAGCTTTAGTGCTGCTGTCATTAAAGTCATGACGTAATGGAAGTAGTGACAGTTAATTTTTTCTGTAATGTGACATACATCCGAGTGAACAGTGGGACTTGATCAGTTGTTGATAGGATGGAGGCAGATCTTAAAGCAAGCTTGCAGTCGATTGTATGAAAGGGGTGGGGTTTACGCTGACAAAATGATTGGTGAAGTCCTTCATACATTAACATAGAGAAGTCTATCATTTCAGTAAAAAGATCAAGTTACAACATTTTGATTCA